AAAAAGATATGTTTTCACTTCTTAAGTTGCTAATTTTGTATATTGACGCATCAAAAATCAACTTTTTATATCTGCAAACAATTTTTAAGGTTTTTTAGGCAGCCATTATAGATAAAATGTGACATTAAAAAATTCAGTTTCAAGGTTTTAAAAAAGTAAGCCTAAATATTGTATATAATAAAAAAAACTAGAAGGTTTTCTGAATTTTCATTTTTAAAATACAGAGCTTCAAAGTATGAACAAAACATGTTTTTGCTAACAAAGTTTTAATTTTTGGAAAAATCAGAAATTTCAAATGACTATATCTCATGAATCACAAAAGATTTTAAGCTAAAATTTTCAGGAATTGCTTTTCTTATTGATGTAAACCAACCCATTAAGTTTCATTAAAATCTGAGGGGGTCCATGTTGGAATCCCAAAATTTCAATCTATTTGGCATGGATTGACTCCTTTTTTATTTTTTTTTTAGAGTCGTTGTTGAAAAAAAATCTTTTATAATGATTTAAAAACAATTGAAAGTTTTGATATGCAATTTATTCACGATTTTTATCAGTCCATATAATTAAGAAACTAATTAGCTATGTACAAGAAATTTTGTTAATTTTTTTCTTGTGTTTATTTGTTCATTCATTTTTATGTCTTTTCGCTTTTAAAAAAGTTTTTGCTATATTTGATGCTTTTTCTCAATACATATATAATAGGAAAATAAGAAAATAAATTGTTATTTATTTGTTAAAAATATTATTTGATTAATAAATTTTTTTAATGATGGAATAAGTAAAATAAAAGAATAACTTCTTTAATAAATGTATTTACCGCATTTGATGCATGTATGAAATTGTTTCTTTTATATTGCCCAATTTCCAATGTTAATACAAGTTAGAAGAGATAATGAACATAGCCATTTCTCTGTTTAAAAAAATGTATTTAAAAACTTAAACAAAAGTTTTAAATAAGCTCCTAAAAATTTTGTTAAGAAAGTTCAGTAAATTAGCAATGCACTAGCCCACAAAATTTTGCAGCATCATTTCATTTTTTTACATCAAAAACTTGTTTAAAAAAATTAAATTTTTCATAAATAAATAGCAATTAGTTTTCTTGCTTTCCTGTCCATTGATAAAAACAGTAAAATTTAGCAAAGACATTTGAAAAATCAAATTTAAAAACTATTCATGTCTCTAGGACAATTTATAAAGTATTTCCTTTATATACTGACTGAAAAAAGCTGCAAAAAAATAGTAAATCAAAAATTATTTTTATTTTCGTTATATTCTTATCTACTTTTTTCCTCGACTTGTATCAATTTTGGAAGTGGAAAATAAAAAACGCTCTAAAAATAAGACAACAAAAACAATAGATATTTAATAATATTATTTTTTTGACAACAATTTTCTTTTTTTTTTATTGATTTCTTTTTTTAACTTATTTTATTTAAATTTTTTATTTTGTATTGTCTTTTGTTCTTTTCTTCGAGTATTGTTGATTTATTCTCTAGTTTCTTATAGCTTTATTTTAAAATTACATTAAGCATCGACGTATCAGTCGTGCGACCACACATACTTCCCAGGAAGGCTTGATATATATATATACAGGCTTTGGCAGGAATAAATGAGTGCACTAGCTATAAATTGCTCTTTTAAACCCATCTTTGCGGACTACACGGGCTAACTGCCTAAAAAGTCTTGCACTGGCTTTTTTGAAAATTAAAATTATTATGTTTTGATGAAATTTTTTTTTATTTTAAAATTTTATTTTGTTGTTTCTTTATGCTAGGTATAGTAAAAATTTTAATTTTAGTTGTAAATGTTTTTTTAGCAATAAAAAGACAAGCACAAAAAAAAAAAAAAAACTTTATAATTTTTTCAAAATAATTTTTTATATTTAACTTTTACTATTATTAATTCATAACCTAATAAAACAACAATATACAAAAAACTGTTATACATCATATAGTTGTTTTATAAAAAAGAATGATCTTAATTATATTATTATAAAAGCAGGCTTGGTCGGGAAGAGGGAGCGATCGCTCTCGATTGCTGACCACGTAAATAATATTTAGTTGCGAAAAGCTGGCCAGATTTTTTAGTCGTTTTAAGAACATTTTAAAAAGCAAAAAAAAAAGCGACGAAGATTAATTGGACCGACGAGAGACAATTACAAAAAAAAAAAAGAAGTAAAAAAATAAAATATCTTTAAACGCGAAAAAATTTAAAGCTAAATAAATTACATTTAAAACAAATATTTTCGAAACATCGCTCTTTTATAATTTTTTTATAAAATTAAGCAATGTTTTTTATAGAAACATCAACTTTTTATAGAAACATACAACCGTCAACTTAAATGATTGTTTAAAAGGAAAACAAATATTCTTTATTTAACTAAGTTTGCAAGTTTTAGTTTTACTTAAGCTTAATTTATTTTATAAATAAAAAAGTTAATTTTTTCAATACCTATTTTATGTTTCGCGTAGTTTGAAAAGTTTAACATATTTAAAGCGATTCTTCTTAGTAAGATAAACAAATGAAATAATTAAATCATTGAATTACTATAAGAATTAAATTATCAAGATAGAAATCAACTAAAAAGGTTAAAAATACTTAATGACCAGGAAGCGAAACTGCTTCACAATATAGCTGATGATGTTTAGTGAGTGGGCTTTTAAATTTTAATTAGTGTTTAAAGCAGAAAAAAGTATAACAAGTTTTAAGAATGGCAACTTAAGCAAAATTAATTAGAGTTAGTAAATCAATATCTAGAAATTTTTCTTTATATCTAATTATTTGCTATATATATATTTGTGTTCTGTCGTGACCTCAGGCGCGATGCTTGTTCATCCGCGAGTTACTTTGTATGCGTTGTTTGTGTTTAGTAACCAGAAACTTCTTATATGTTTGTTACATAATTAGTTTTATTAACTTTAACGATTAAAACTTCATTAAAAACACAATTATTTTTGTAAGTCTTTGTTTAAATCATAAAAATTGCTTTAAAAGATACATTACGATAAAAAATAAATACACAAAATTACATTTACATAAAGAATACAATCTCTTTTAAAATAAAAAATAAGAATATACTAATAAAATCTATGATTTATAATAAACTTTGAAAATTTTAACAATTTAACTAGTATATATTTAAAACATTTATTTTCGTAAACAAATAATATAAATTCTTAAAACAATGCTAAAAATCTCAAAACGTAACAAATCGTGAATAATACAATTTCTAAAACATTTTAACAGAATACTCTAGAACTTTATTTCACTTAATCAGCGTATTTTTTGAACCAATAGAATTAGTTTGTTTGTTAATTTGGCGGGTTTTTAGTGTTCGCAAACATTCTTTTTATTCTTTCGCACAAAGATGTTTTGAGAACATTCAACTTTTTTTATGTTTCCATGTATGTCCGTAAAACAAAAATTTTTTGTTTCGTACACAAACTTAAATGTTCTCAAAACGACTAAAAAACCTGGCCAGTTTTACGCAACTAAATATAATTTCCGTGGTCAGTATTCGAGAGCGATCGCTCCCGCTTCCCGACCAAGCCTGTAAAAGTTCATTTGTTTCTCTTCTTCTTTCTTTGTGAATGAAAATGTTATCGTATATAAAAATTTCTACAATCACTTTGTTAACAAGTAGGAGAGTGACAAATCATTTAAAAAGACTTGGGTAATTAAACTTCGAATAATTGAATACTTGTAAAATTGAGATAATAGTTTTTCGAAGTTAAACTGCAGTTTTTATCTTTTGCTCAGAGTTATTAGTGTGCGCTCTACTTAGTGAGTTTTTGTTATTATGTTTTTGTTTTGGTTTTGTTTCTTGATTTTCATTCAAGCTTTATTCTTTTATTCTCAAGTTTTATTAGTTGTATAAACTGTTTTTTTTGAGTTTGCTCCACGTATAGTCAAACCAATAATTTGCAAGCAACGCTAATAATGGCAACCTTCGCAACAATCACGTTTTTTTAATCAAGCATCTTGACAATTGAAAAATTTTGTAATGAACATAGCAATTTTGCAAGATCTATTTGAGTATTAATATATATATATATATATATATATATATATATATATATATATATATATATATATATATATATATATATATATATATATATATATATATATATATATATGTATATATATATATATTTTTACACATCTTCGCTTCCAACAAGGCTGCTTGCAGCCTTGTTGGAAACAAAGGTGAAGAAACCACACAAAGATGAAGAAAACGAAGGCACAAACCACTAATTAGAGTTAGAAGTTACTGGAAGAGAAAAGATGAAGATTATAGAGCAAGATCAGCGAGCAACGATTGACAGAAGAGCAACGATTGACAGACGACTTAAAAGATTGCCATAGAATGAGTTTCCTAGTCATAAAAACAGAGACACAAGCAAAACCACTGTATCGAGTCAAGAAGATCCAGCATTCAACAACCTTCTACAAGACAGCAGCCGGATGCATTTAATTTCTGCCCAAGATGTGTATTTTTATCGAGACACCATCTCTAGTCTTTACTTAACCAAGAGCCAAAAGACAGGGGGTGTTTTATGTCAGAGTTAACATCTCCTTTGCCTAAAAAGACGTATCCTACAAGGCAGCAGGACATGAAGCAGATTGTACTGGGTTACATGTTACCAGTAGCAGGATAACCTGACCTGACAACAATATATATATATATATATATATATATATATATATATATATATATATATATATATATATATATATATATATATATATATATATATATATATATATAATATAAACCTTTTTTTTTTTGTTTTTCACATTTGAACTTTAAAATATTGAGGGCTTTAACTTTAATATATCATTGTTATAATTTATTAATGAAAATATTTATTATAATTTTTTTTTATATACTTTGATAAATTAAACTGAGCTTAAGTGATCTTTAGTAAAAAGATTAAACAAAAAAAATATATATATTTAATCTTTATGATTATTAATTTTTTTTTATGTGTTAGCAGGTTCCTTTACTTACTGGTGATGAAGAAGATAGTGAGGAAGAACTGTGAGAATTTAATATATATGTTAAAGCAGTCTTTATGTTGTATAAATATATCTTTATAAATATATCTTTATGAATATATCTTAATAAATATATCTTTATAAATATATCTTTATAAATATATCTTTATGTATATATCTTTATAAATATATCATTATAAATATATCTTTATAAATATATATCATTATAAATATATCTTTATAAATATATCTTTATGTATATATATCTTTATAAATATATCTTTATAAATATATCAAAGCAGTCTAATTATGTTATATAAAATTTAATTAAATTATTGATACACCTGAATTATATAAAGTTTAAAAGTTTCAAAAAATTTATTTGATATGGTGTTAGTAATTTATTTTTCAAAATATGAATAAAGTTTAAGGTAGTTATTTCATTTGACTTTCATTTGTGATTCAATCAAATTTAGTCGAAAATTTAATTATCAGTTAAAAAAATGTGACACATTAATTTTCATTTAAGTGTGTAATGTAAATATTTTGTTGTAGTTGTGTTATTCTCAAACAATTAGACACGACTACAAAGTTTTAAGTTTTGTATGTGTGTGCACTACTAAAAATGTAAAAGTCTAATGTAAATATTGACTAATAGTCACTTTTGATGAACCAAAAAAATTTTTTTGATAAAAATTAAAATCTACACATATTGAAATTTATTAATTAGTTAATTAAAAGCAGATAAGAAACTTCAAAGTAATATTTTTATGGTATTTAAGTCAAAAATTGCGTAATGTAAGTTATGAACAAAGACTTGTGTTTGATGAAGACATCAAACACATGCATTGCTGACGTTTAGAATTTTAATATTTCTTATAATATAGTTATAAAGAAAAATTTTAAAAATAATTTTAAAAGAAAATTTAAAAAGCTGTTAAAAAATAATGCAGTCAGTCAGCTGTTAAAAAGTAATGAAATAAATATATAAATAAATTATATAAATATATAAATAAATATATAAATAAATTCACTTTTACTCAGAGTACATTTTTAATTATCTACTTTTTACTTTTACTTGAATAAATTTTTTGACTGGTAACTTTTACTTGTACTTGAGTAAAATTTCACATTTACTTGTACTTGAGTAACATTTACTTGTACTTGAGTAAAATTTCACTTTAGTAACAGTACTGTTATATGAGTACAAAATTAAGTTCTTTTTTCACCTCTGGAAACATGTCAATACATCTGCTTGAAGTAATTCAAAATTAAGGAAGAAAAAAAATATTGAAAATCATGTAATTTTTACACCTTATTATATTTTTTTATGTAATATATCTTGAAAAAAATATGTGCTTTCATTTAACTGCTTCCATCCAAATGATGCATTTCTTTGTAATGTATTATTTGACCAAATGCAAGACAAACTTCTATTTTTATTAAGCAGTTTAGAATTCTTTTCAAAAAAAGAATTCTAAACTGCTTATTAAACAAACTATTTAATCCCTTTTAGAATTTAATTTGAAAAAAAGCACCAAAGTTGTAATATTTTTGTGTAAAAGATGTGAATTTATACTTTCAATTGGGTTTTCAAGATAAGTAATACAATGTAAATATAAATATGTACACATTGTTAAAATCAGTTGAGTTTATTTATTATTTTGTAGGTACCTTGTTTCTTTGAATTTATTTTATTTATCATTTTTATATATTTTCAGCTTTGAAAGAGTCAAAAAAGGACCGCTACGAAAAGACAATGCAATTGCTAAAGTCAAACAAGAGCTACAAAGCACAGTGAATTTAATGAAAAATAATTTGCATAAAGTCATTGATCGTGGTGAAAAACTTGAAGATTTAGAAGCCAAATCTGGTTAGCAAAAAACATGTTACTATGTTTTACATAGTTATACTAGCATTATTATAATTGAGGGGCTCAGCAGAAAAGTGATCTAAGCCACAATTACTTCATTTTTAGTAAACTGGAAAAGACTTAAAGGATTTTTTTTTGAATAACAGGAAAATGTATGATTATCAGAAAGATAGTATTTATTATAAAGACAGGTGAAAAAATACACTGGTATATCTACTTAAAAACTAGGACACTATATTACTGTGTTCTGCAATATCAAAAAAATTTTTGAAAATATTGTTAAAAAAGATGATTAGGCTAAATAGATATTTTTTCTATGGCTTGCTAATGATACTTTTATATATGTAAGTTGCACTCATTAATGCCTTTCTTACCAGAGTTATCAGTTAGACCCAAATCAAATGTCTCCTTGTCATTTTTAAGAGCAAACTATCAAGGATAATGGACAGGTAGTATGAATTGTATTAGCTCAAAAAGGTCACTTAGCTTTTCTTTTGTGAGTTTTCTAACATTAAGGTACAAGGGCTCAAGTTCAACATTGATAGTGCCCAATGGCCGTCCATGATTTAGAATTGTTACGTCCAGCAATATGAATGTGTCACTTTCTAAATTTGTTTGCTTCATTTGAAATAAACATGGTGATCCTTTTTTCCAATTTATTTAGCCTGTCTTTAGTCATGAAATTTTTTCTCAATTTAAAAATTTTTTTCTATTGGTTAACCCACTCACCAATAATTTTGTACTGAGAAATTCATGAGTTTCCATTTTTCTTACAATAAATTTTGGGGCCCTTTTCTTTGCATTTTTAATAAGGTCTATCCAATTATCTGGAGCAAATATTTGGTCCTTCGTTTTTTGGCTTTTTGAATCACAGCAAATTTTCAGTTGCAGGAGGAAAAACTGTCCTGGTACAAAAAATTACTGTTCAATAGTTTTCAGAGATGGAGATTTGCGCAAAATATATTGTAGCTTAAGAGACATTTTTGTATTACAATTTTATCCATCGCAACTATTGCTATACGATATAAATTGGGAAACAGTTTCTGGTATATGTCAAAAAATATATACCAGAAAATCTCTTGATCTATCTCTGAATGCTTGTTCCTCACTCCATGCATACATAAATTTTGTCTAAGTTTTCATTATGGATTCCAAGATTGTCAGTCCTAGACCATATCAATATCAATCAATCTTAGGCCATAACAATAGGAACTAAAAAATTACTTGTATAAGCCTATTTATTTTTAGACGGTTAGTACATACCATCAACTCCTGTTAATATAGATTTTTTTTATCGCAGAAATATTGATCCCTAATATTTCTGCAATAAATAAAGGGCATGTCAGTTTTGAAAAAACTAGAAGAGGAAAACCTGCCTAAACAATATTGAAGCTAGAAACTATATTATTGTATGATAAACTCAATGAAAAGTATATCTTGATGCTGCATTGATTATATACATACCTTCACTAACATCAACTGCAAAAGAAGGGTTGTTATCTGCATTTGAATTATCACAATCACTTTTCATTAGAAAGTCTTCCAAATCTGAGCTGTTCATTTTTGCCATGTTGATTTTGGAATAGACAACATTTCCATAATTCAAAATTTATTTTTCTGTTAAAGTAAATGGATGGGTTTTGGGGTTTGGCACTTTTTCCACAACAAACTACATACTCAATGAGTGTTGGCAGTGATTATCTGGAAAATTTCAATAATATGGGTTAGACCACTTTTCTGCTGAGCCCCTCAATTATGATAAAGACTTTAATAACAACATTTAGCTACATTTCAGATTATCATATGGAAACCATTTATAAGAAAAACCATTTCAAAAGCAAACCATTTTATAAAATTTTAGTTTTTTGAAATAAGTTTATTTTAACAGAAGTATAAAAAAAGTATTTTAACATCTTTTAATATCAATTAAATAATCTCTTATATTTATCATAGAAACTTTTGAAATGAATGCAAGTGAATTTAAATCGCGCTCTACTAAACTTAGAAAAAAGATGTGGTGGCAACAATGCAAGGTAAGCAGTGTTCATACAGAGTTTTCAAACTATAAATAATCTAGAAAAATCAACGGTATGTAATGATATTTTCATATCAAGATAGATACGTGATAGATATGTGAAGATAGAGAATATAAAAAACGAACTAGATAAGCCTCTAACTTATAAAAAGGAAAACAGTTATCTTTCTCTGCATTAATTCTTTTTTGGTTTGTCTTGCCATTTTTAAAAGGATTTTGGTAGCCTTAGTAACTTCTTTTCAACTTATATTTTTTTAAATTGATTTTTAAGTACTGTAAAAAAAAATAATTTGATTGGGTCAAAGAGAAGGAAATAATTTTTTATTCTTTTTGCTTTACTTCGCTTATTTTAGGACTGGGTTTTATTTTAGGATCGGATTTTATTTTAGAACCGGATTTTATTTAACTGTTAAGTTTATTTTCAAACAATATTCATTTTCTGATTTTTCAGAATCAACTGGTAAGTTTTATTAAATCTGTCCCTGGTGACTCCTTAGTTTTAACTAAAAAAAAAACAGCTATTTTTGATTGATCCTTTTAACAAAATTATATTTTTATATCACTGTAGTTTATTGTTTTTATTATCGTTTTTCTATCATGGCATTCCTTAGTGACCATCAACATATTGGCAGTAAACTTAAAAATGTAATGACAGTGAAATTTAAAAGTGTTACCACAAAGAGATTAAAGAACATTTTATTTTGCACCTTTTTCTAGGAAGACTTTTTTTAGGAAAATCTACAACAGATTTTTTAGTTTATTTTAATTTTTTTAATTGTATTTTGTTATTACATAACCATTTTATTTTATAATAGTATAATGATAAATTATTTGTAAATAACTTTTGCACTGTTTAAGCCATTTTTAACTATTTGAGAGTCTTAACTAGGAATCAAATAAATCAAGTAATTTGGAAAAATTTATTAATTCAAAATTAAGTTCATTAAGATTGTTTATTAGACACAAATAAACTGAATACAAATAACTAGTGTACTCATGCAAAACAATAGACAAAACAAGATTTCAAATTTTTGAGACAGTTTTCAATAAGTCTAAAATAAATGCTGCTATGCAATATATATTAAATTTTCAACCACTCATTGTGTTAACATTTTTTTAATAGAACTTAATTGCAGGTGTTGCCTACAATACAATTGATTTAAAAGTAAATAATGGCATAGAAAGAATAAGCTTTCATAAGTTGCTTTATTTCAAATTAATTTAATCATCACAAATTATAATATTTGCATAAGTTTTATGCATTAATTATGATTATTTTGTGAAACTTTAGAAAATATAAATAAGTAAATATAATTATAAATAAACAACAAAAACAGTTAAAACATAAAAAACAACTTTCAAATAAAAATTAAAATACAAAAATTTATTTTTTCTAAGAGATTTGAGCCTTCACTCTTGTTTGGTGTGCCTCAAAATAGTAGGCTTATCTTCCACAGCTCTATGCCAACATATTGATTAATACAAAAAATTTAAGTATTTAAACATTCTTTGAAAAAAATAAAAGTTTTTTTGGGGGGCTTTTTAATTGTACTAGTGTACAAGTTACAAGTTAAATACTTTCAAAGTAATACTAAATAATAATTAAAATATATTCATTAGATAACTAAAAGCAGCTAAGAAAAATAAAAATATTATTGTATTTAAAACCTCAAAAAAAAATTTAGGAGGAGGGACCAAACTTATTGCGTTTTTTAAGGAGGGGGGTCAGTAACAAATCATCAAACATGATGGTTTAATCATGTTTAATAGGGGTCAGTAACAAATCATTACATGTGATGATTTTTTGGACCTCCTGTCCCTCCTAGGGAGAGACGAGAGGTTTAAAATTGTGAAAAATTTCATAACGTCATTTTTGGATGACCCCTTCCAAAACCACCTTACAAAAAAGAAGTAGGGGTTATTACCTCTTTTTTTAATTTATTTGATAATTTTTTAAGTGTAAGATTATTTATTATGTTTGATTGATATCACAGTATATCTGTGATATACAGGGTTGGCAAAAGCCCAGGTTTTTTTAAAAAATTCTGGCCCAGTCGGATTTTTTTTGGGTAAATTTGGGTTTTTTTGGGTTTTATTTTTATTTGGTATCTGTTAAGTTTTTTTTTTCGAATTGTTTTTAAAAAATAACGCTGGTTAATTTGTTCTAATTAAGTGTGCCTAAATATATTTTAAGTTGTTTTTTAATAAACAACTATATTTACACTTGAGGCCACAAATTCAAATTATGCAAACTAAAGTGTAAACTCAATGTCTGTAAATATTCTTTCTTTCTCAGGTTTGTTAACTGATGAGTTAACATTATTTGCCGTCTGATGTCGTTAACGCCAAAAACATCAAGAGCTTTAAATTTAAAATTAACTTTATCAACTTTGAAAAATTCTTTCGTAAAAATATTCTCTCACACAATAAAAAGAAGCTATTTAAATATCCGTATAAATCAGTTTCCTTTTTGCAATATATTCTGATTGTTTTGCAAAAGTATGTTCTAAAAAATATTTTAAGTGAGGCATCTAGATTGAGTAAATATGGCTTTGTGGTTATCAACTCCATAACACTCTTAGACTTATAATAAAAGGTTTATTGATTGAAGTTTAAACAAAATGTAATCCTGTTAACAATATTTTACCACAATTTAAAGTACCACTTAAACAAATAGTTACAGCACTTAAGGTTAATTTTTATTAAAAAATTTTTTCAAGATACCCAATTCCAGGTACTGCAAGAAAATGGCTGATTTTGGCTACTTGGTAAAACAGCTGAATTACCAGTTTCCTGGGTTTGATTTGGGTACCCTGCACATCACTAATTGATTTATTTTTGATGTTTTTTATAATTAAAAATATCAATAAGAAATAGGAAAAAGAAAGCTGAAAATGTGAGGAAGTAACTGAAGTTTCAATTAAACTTCAAATTTAAATACTGGCTGATTCAAATTGAGAAATAGCTGATGATACAAAAGTGCTTTTTCAATTATCCTTGAGCTATGCGCTACTAATCTTCAAAATGATCTAGATATTGTCTACAAATGGTCTCAAACTTGGCTTCTTTTGTTTAATATATCAAAATGTGTAGTTATGAATTATGGCCACAATAACAAAAACTATATAATCTAAACAGTATTCAATTAATGAAGTCAGATACAGATAGAAATCTTGGAGTGCTTTTCAATACAAATCAAAAATGGAAAAATCAAGTCATTAATGCTTCTAACAAAGCAAATCAAATGCCTGGTTTTATCAAAAAATCATTTGTTTGTTTCGATTATAAGTTACTACTTTTGTTTTGTATTATTTTTATTCGGCCATTACCAGAGTTTGTAGTTCCGGTATGGTCTCCATTTCTTAAATCAAATTGTGACTATATTGAAAGAATCCAGCACAAAGCTACTAAACTAGTATCATTAATTAGAAGTCTTTCCTATACACAGATAAGCATAGAGAAAACTTCTTTTTTAATCAAGTAGCAAATTTATGGAACTCTCTGCCAGAAGAAGTTGTTAAGTTGCCTTCATTCAACAAATTTAAAGAAGCAATTGATCATTTTAGCTGTCAAAGTGTGCCTGATAACACGCTTACTGGCTCTGCCAAATAACTAACTTGAAATTCAAATGAGCAAACGTGTTTTGGATATAAAGAGTTAGGAGAGGCTTTTAACCACAATAAGGTAGCCTTCTTGACTGTAGTGACCTTTTCAGCTTTGGAAGGTGAATAACATAAAAGATAAAGAAGTGACATTACATCTCAATCTGTAAAAATATTAGAATAAAAATTGTGACAATCTATTTCCAAATAAAGATTTAAATATTAGTAAATCTGCTCTGATAGCTGTTAATGTTGGTTATAATAGTTAATAATAATATTTAATAATAATTTAGTTAATAATAGTTATTAATTATTTTAGTTAATAATATAATAGTTAAAATGTTAATGTTGGTATAATAGTTCATAAAATTATAAAATATTTAAAAAGAAACAAAAATTAAAGCCAGATTGCCTAAGTTTTATTGTATTTTTTTAGGCGGATTTTATTGGGCGGGTTTTTTAATGCCAAACCTGGTGATATATTGTATCATCAGATAAAATAAGTAAAATTATTTTTATGTTCAAATATTAAACATTTCAAGATTTGAGCAGCTGTGGCGCAGTGGTAGCGCACTTGCCTCAGAAACGCAAGATCTGTGGTTCAAACCCCACCTCTGGGCAAGTTTTGCGACATCGGTTGGGAAGGAGACTTGAACTTCCTATTAAATGCTCATCCGCGGTGCTCTGTGATAAGGCTGCAAGAACTTCTTGGGGCACCTAAAAAATTAAATTAAAAAAAATATATATATATCCAGTACCCAATTTTGTATAGGTGAGCTATATACATTGTAATAAACAAACTTGGACACAATTCTATTAAACCTAAAAATGGTTAAGACAAGTACTTCATTTTATTGTTCTAATTGTTTTGTAAAGGGGTTTAAATTAAGTGTTAAACTTTGACAAAATTTGATTTAAAGATAAACTAAACTTAAAGCTTTTTTGATTTAACTTTTGTAAGTTTTAATTAATTTATTGATAAAGTTATTATAATTTTAATTGTTTTTAATTTTTTAATTTCAGTTAAAACTAGTTTTTGGGCTTATCATCACTGGTGTTCTTACTGTTGTGATAGGTATTTCTAATTTGTTTTTTTAAACTCAAATAAGTAAATATTACCTGAAAAAACATGTACTAAGAATTACCTGTTTTCTAAATATATATATATATATATATATATATATATATATATATATATATATATATATATATATATATATATATATATATATATATATATATATATATATATATATACAGTCCTCATAATTAGGAAAAATAAGGTTGGCAATAAACTGCTAATCAAAAACTATTTTAGGTCAGCATCAGGTTGGCACAACATTTAGAACCAGAGCTCGGCAAATTGAAAAATTACGGAAAATTCAGTATAAAATTGACAGGAAAACAAAACGTTAAATATCAACATTTGCTTAAAAACTTGTAAAAACAAATGCTTTATTTAACCACTTTATTAGGAATTTAAATAAAACATTAACTTTATTTAAAGCCAATTTTATTATTATTATAGTTTAGAGTTAAAGAAGCTTTTGTGTTTCCGCTTTTATTTTAATTGTTTTGTTTACTGTTTACTATATAAATAAAAAGTTCACAATTAGAGTTAATTAAAAAGTTCGTTTTTTGCTGTTTTTACTTTAATTATTTTATTTATTTATATTTTAATAAAACATACTTCCATTGGTTCTTCAAAAAATTTTATTTAAAAGGCAATTTTAAAATTTTAGTTAAAAGTTATTAAAAACTTTGTGCTTTCATTTTTAGTTTAATTATTTTATTTTGAATTTAAATAAAACGTTCTTTATTCTGTTTATATTTTAATTGTTTTGTTTATTCTTTAAATAAAAGGTTCACATTTTGAATTTAATTAAAACTTTCTTTTTTCCGTTTTTGTTTTTTTTTAATATTTTATTCAGAAGTTAATTAAAACATTTGCTTTTTTGTTTTATATCTATATATATTTTTCATTTTTTATTTAGAATTTAAATAAAGCTTAGTATTGCCATTTTTATTTTAACTATTTATTTTAATCTATTTATTTAGAAATTAAATAAAATGTTTCTTTTGCTGTTGAGTTTTTTAAATTACTTGTTCAGAATTTAAATGAAATGTTTATTTAGCCTTTTTTTTATTTATTTTAATTAGTTTAGAATTTTAAAAAATTTAAGAATTTAAAAAAAAACATTCTTTATTCTGTTTTTAATTTAAGTATTTTATTTAGAATTTAAATAAAATATTTGTTTTGCTGTTTTTATTTTAATTTATTTATAATTTAAATAAAATGTTTGTTTTGTCATTTTTAGTTTATATGGAATGCAAACAAAATTAGATTTTAAAATCCTAAGGTTGGCAAAAAAATGCCAACCTCAAATACTGTCAGGTCGGCTATATATATATATATATATATATATATATATATATATATATATATATATATATATATATATATATATATATATATATATATATATATATATATATATATATATATATATATAAATATATATATATATATATATATATATATATATATATATATATATATATATATATATATAAATATATATATATATATATATATATATATATATATATATATATATATATATATATATATATATATATATATATATATATATATATATATATATATATATATATATATATATATAGCTATATTGTGACTACCAATAAAAAGTTATATATTTATAACTTTTTATTGGTAGTCACAAGACACTCTGTTAAATTTTTTCAAAATTGAATAAGATTTAGAGGGGCCACCTCAAATCTGAAACTTGCGACAAGACCCTAAACAGAAGAAATAAAGTTTTTCAAATGTCATGTTGGGTCTCAAAAGAAGTGAAGGAGAAGTTGCATAAAAATTATTTTTTAGCAAAAAATTAAAAAAAGCCATTTTTTCAAGGTTTTTGGTCGAAATTTTTTTTTGAAGGTATTTTTAACAAAAAAGCATAACTATTTTTAAAATTTTTATAAAGTTCCGCTTCTTTTAAGACCCAACATGACATACATTTGAAAAACTTTTTTTTCTTCTGTTTAGGGTCTCGTTGCAAGTTTCAGACTTAATGTGGCCCCCCTAAATCTCATTCAATTTTAAAAAAATTTAACAGAGTGTCTCGTGAGAACCAACAGATGGTATATATATATATATATATATATATATATATATATATATATATATATATATATATATATATATATATATATATATATATATATGTAGTCAAAAATAATAAAAGTCAAGTTTTCTTTAAACTTAAATCATGCCAAAAATAACCCAAAAAATTAAACATAAAAAACCCACCACCTAACTGTTTTAATATCTTTTAAAAATTTTTGTGATCTGTGAAGCTACCTTTTATCAGTTGAATCTTACCTTTTGCAAAGTTCACCAGACTTGCTTGCTTTTAGTGAGATCAGTTTAAGTTCTACTATTCCTTCTTCAGATCTCAGTGTTGATGGGTACTATCCTTTGATTCGTAAAGACTCTAATAGTCACATGCTTTGCTTGGGGGTATACATAGGCATCAATTCACCTATTTATCGTGAAATCACCTCTTCACTCTACCACCTTTCTTTCTGTTCATTATTGTTCTCCTTCTTCCCAAGCCTGCACTTTTTTAGTAAACAATGTCTCGTACTTCCTTTTCAGACTTACCCTATCATTGCAATACTTACTACTACCCTAAAGCTGACTGGAATTCTTTCTTCATGAAAGTCTTTGGGCTGATGTCTTTTTTTTCCAGCAGAAAAATGTGCCTCCTATGTAACCTCCTGGATTCAGGCAGGAATGGAAGCTTTTATTTCTTCTTGTCGGTTCCAAGTCAAGTCTCATTCTACACCATGGTTTTCACCTTCTTGTGCAGCTGCTATATCTAATTGTAATCATTTTTTCATTTTTTTTAAAAGAACAACTCTCGTGAGAACTAACAGATATTTATTATTACAAGATATTGATGTAAAAAGGTGTTAGCTGTTGCTAAGTTCCATTATTCTCAGTTCATTAAATCTTGTGTTTTATCTCAGAAGTTCTTTAACAGAAAATCTTTAACAGTGTCATTAACAAGGGTAGGTCTAACATTCCATCTCTCATTCATTTGAGTGATATTATTACCTCTCACAAGGATAAGGCAGAACTATTTGCAAAGAAATTTTCTTCTTATTTTACTCTTGAATTTTATGGCCATTTTCTTCTTTCCATTCCAGTTAAACAGGTTAACCCATTATTAGATATTCAAATCACTCCAGCTTCCGTTTTTAAAGTCATATCTCTGTTAAACTCTTCTATGGGTTGTGGTCCAGACAACATTCCTGCCATAGTCTTACAAAAGTGTTCTCCAGAACTCTCTTCAATTCTCTGTAAATTCTTTAGTAAATGCTTGACTGAGTCTTGTTTTTCTGCCTATTGAAAAATGAAATCTGTTGTTCTGATTTTTAAAAACTCTAGTGAATATTCCTTTTTTAGATCAGTCTCCTTCTTTTGAGTCTTTGATCAACAAGTTTCTAACATTCCATCTTGAATCAAATAATTTACTGTCAGACAATCAATAAGGTTTTTGATCCTCTCATTCTACGGCTGACTTGCTAACTACTGTGACTGAAAGATTTTATTGTGCATTAGATGGAGGTGGAGAGGCTAGGGCTATTGCTCTTGACATATTTAAGGCTTTTGACAAAATTTGGCATGCTGTTCTTCTCCGTAATCTTGTTTCTAATGGCAGAAGTGTAAACTGGATTTTTAGATGTTTGAGTTTTAACACATACAGGAATTGTGCAAACTTTTGTATGTTTATGCTTATCTTAAATGAAAATATTTTGCAAAGGATTGTAGTGATTGAAGCTTGGGAACAAAAAACCCCTAATTTTTGGGTCCACTCAGTGGGGTTAAACTTTATATGTCGTAGTTTTTAAAAAATAAGAGATTAATGCATGAAATTTGAAATTTGTTGATGAATATTATGACAAATATAAATTTACATAAAAGTAGTAAAAAAAATATTTTATAAACTTTTTGCTCCTGCTTTATTAAAGTCATCTTCGAACTTCTGGGGTAACTTAAGGTTCTATCCTTGGTCCTGTTTTGTTACTTATTTACATTAATGGTTTTCCTGACAACCTCACATTTAAAGTAGCTCTTTCTGCTGATGACTCAACTTTATACTCCTTGCTCAGCAAAATGTATTCTCTTTTCGATTGCTAAGAACAGGCAGCCGATCTTGAATCTGATATCACTTCTGTAAAAGATTAAGGCTCGCAGACACTCATAAATTTTAACTCCAACAAAACTTAGTTATTTACTGCAAACAGCTATCGCAATTGTTGATTCCATTCTATACCTCTACAAATTTCTTATTTGTCCCTGTATGGAATACTGTTGTCTTGTTAATACTTGTTAGGAGTGAATAAAAACAAAAAAAATTATAGCCCTGAAACTGCATAAAAACACCTAAAGTTTATAATTGGTTATGTATTTCCTTTTTAAATGCATAAATTGTTTTCAATAAAACTGCTACATTATTATTAGTCTAGTTTATAACTTTGATGCTTTAAGAAAAGTCACTTATACTAGTAAATATGTAAAATGAACCATTGATAGGTATTTTGGGTATCACTACCAACCAAATAAAAAATCTATAGTACCACTATATTTTTAGTTTAAAAAATTTGGTAATTATGGGAGTAATCCGATAAATTTAATAATTTTGCCCAGTTTTTATTTATTATGGTTTATAAAACATGTGGTTGCTATGATACCTAAGCAGTTTAGGTATCCATAGCAACCCAAAATTCCATATCCAAACTGACCCAAAAACTAATATCACCATTAAAATCGAATTCCTCAAATTAGTAAACAGTGCCAAAATTGTACTCAAATCTTTTTTACATGATGGTTTATTAGTTTTTTCCAGTAAAAGTGAATTCTAGCCCACTGTGCAGGTAGGAAAACAAGATTCAGTCAATCCCTTATTATAAGGATTAGAGAGAATTAAAGAAAGTTATGAAGAACACTTTTCTAAGAAATGTTGTTTAGACCACAAGCTATAAAAGAGTTTAATTGAGAAATAACTTTGAGAAATGACTATAGCAGCGGAGGCGGGAGTGATTTAAATGTCTAACAATGGTTAACCTGTTTAAGTGGAATACCAGCACTTACAGCATAAAAAACTAAGTTTTTTTTAAAACAAAATTTATTAAAAGTCACACTTAAATAAAACTAAAAATCAAACCCAAGATTTATATGAGCTTATTCTGTTTTTCTTATTTATTTAAATATACCTATATGCTATACATATGCTATACATCCTGTGGATGCCTATATGTTATACATATAGGCATCCACAGGATTTTTTTTAGGGGGTTGCAAACAAAAAGAGGGGGAGAATTATAACAAAATTATGATTTAGAAATTTATCAATTAACAAAAAATAAGGCTGCTACGCATGTTATTAAAAAATAAAGAAAATATAACAACTAAACTTGACTCAAACATTTATGTAATGCACATTTATGATTTTTTATGATTTTTATGAGATTGCAATTCATTTATTTATATATACTTTTTTCATATATTAGTTTTCAATAGTATTCTATTTCTTATATTAATATGTATATTTTTATTAAGTATATAGCGTAGCATTTATAAATTATTATGCTGCATTTTTTTAGTGTCTTTGGTACTGAAGAATAAAAAGTCGCAATAGAAGGTTATTTTATATACTTATACATATTAGTTTTTATAGAAGATTTACAGCATCTTTTTTGAAAATAAATTGCCATTTTTAAAATAATTACAATACCTTCTTTTTTTAAAGGTAAAAGGCTTTTTTTGTTGAAAGTTTTATGTATATATATATATATATACATATATATATATATATATATATATATATATATATATATATATATATATATATATATATATATATATATATATATATATATATATATATATATATGCACATACATATATATATATATATATATATATATATATATATATATATATATATATATATATATATACACATACATATATATATATATATATATATATATATATATATATACATACATATATATATATATATATATATATATATATATATACACACATACATACATATATATATATATATATATATATACACACATATATATATATATATATATATATATATATATATATATATATATATATATATATATATATATATATATATAGAGAGAGAGAGAGAGAGAGAGAGAGAGCTAAAAAAAAGTGAAAAACTTCAATATAATTTTGTGATTAAATTGAAATCTGAAAAATGTGAGGTTTTTATGTTGTTGAATAATAGATTTTGTAAATGACATAAATCTATATTTACTTTAAGCATAATGTTTTGACGCTATATATTTTAAATATATGAACGAAAATAATTTTTTGTTTGTTCATGTTTTAAAAGATTTTTTGCAAATA